CCACAGGATCAGGGAAAGCTGTCATCGTGCCTGCAGGCAGCTCAGCTTCTCCCTCTGCCCATTCCTGCTTCCTTTGCTGTTTCTTCCACAGAGTTTAGTCTCAAGGGCACTTCTTAAAAACTTCTTAAACACTAAACTTCATTTCCAAATGCGCCTCCCAGGTAACCTAATCTTGGAATAGTCTGAGAAAGCTGGTAATAAGACGGGGCTTTGGTGCTAGTTAACTCACTGCCACAGTGGTAATGAGGACCCCACCACTGGTAGAAGATGGAGCACACACCCGGTCCAAGGTAGCAGTCCAACTATTAAAACTCACCAGAGGTGAGCTGAGATGTTGGGAAGGGAACATCTTAGTTAGAATGGTATTTCAGATGTTTGAGAAATACGAGAGAAGTAGTAACTATAAGGACAATGGAAAAAACACAAAAAGCTCAGAGAAAGTAACTGCCAAAAAGAAAGCCAGAGGGCCTTCTTTGTAAATACAAAGATGTTCTCAGCTTCTGTAGCTGTTGGGTAAAGAAAGTTGATGTCCAGAAACAGGGCTTAATCATCAGAATATTCAAGCTCCCAAACTCAATGAAAGCAGATCTGCTAAGTCAGAATCCTAGTTAGAAAAGAATGGGAATTCGCCACATGGAATGGGATGTCTGGCTTGATGTCTTCTGAAATCCTGAATCCCCAGATTCCCCCAGAGCTTTCTAATCTCACAAAGTGGCCTTCCCCTTCTTTCTTGGGACAATAAGGATAGAGATTTCACCCCTATAAGATAACATGTGCCCCTTAACTACCATCTACCTCTGCCTCCCCTGCAGATCCCTGGGTCAATAACTAAGGTTTTATCACAATATAACCTATCTGGGACACACTAGAGTTAATAAAGAAAGAGACTTTACCCCAAAGGAGCCACAAGACCTAGATAGTTTGTATTAGCCAGGAGAATACATGTAGAATTAAATGTTGAGGGTGTTTGATTAAAAGGGCTGGAACCTAAGAAAAGGCAGAGCTTACTGATTTGCAGGCACTCTCCTGAGATGCAGGATTTAACATGGGCAAGAATCCCAGAAGATGGTCCAAACTCACTACTAGGATGGTTCCTAGAAATATGGACAAATTAATGGCTGATACTAATATGACTGAAATGCCAGGAATGCTGTGGCAGATGGCAGAAGAGGGGATTGCGAGGCTCAGAGAACTGGGCAGTCTGGTATATAGCTACGAGGTAAAAGCCAGAAAATCCTTAAGATGAATATATAACACAGGAAGACCCAGAAAACACACCATTTCCCAAAGCCATAAGGAATATGCCAATGAGAAGACACCAATATTACTAAAAATTTCAGAGGTGGTTCTCCCCTGAAGGTCAGGAGTGACAGAAGAAAAGGATGATATATAACCAGGCTGACTGATAGCAATGAGGATGCTGAGACCAAGTGAGAATGCTTAACCATCAGAAGCCAGGTAGACACAATTATCATAAGAGCGGCAAAAGTGGTGCGTGTGTGTATGTGTGGCTGGCTAACCCACAAAACATTATTGAGATAATTAATGGAATCTTGCATCCCTAGAGGCAAAACAGAGAGCTAACAAAGCTACTACTCAATATTTACCATCAAAAGAAACCAAAGATGAATGACCACAAAGTTGAGTGTAGCTGCCCCAGTGAAGTCACAATCTCTTGCTCAGCTTCCAAACCTGAGTTAATTTTTAGACCCAGAACCCACAAACTGAAGAAGAGGCCTAGTTCCCAGAAGAAAGAACCTTTTAACACCATGACAAGAGTACAGGATAATAATCCCCCCAATATTTATCCACAGGGAACTACAGTCCTTTACCCAAGTAACTGGGCACTGGAGAAGGACTATCCAAATGTTTGAGGACTAATGAGCACACAGTTGACACTGATACCTGGTGACCTGAAGCATCAAAATGCTGTTCCCCTTTCCCTTTTAGAGTAGAGGCTTATAGGAGCCAGTAATAAATGGAGCCCCAGCCAAAGTCTGGCTCATAATAGGTTCACTGTGACCACAGATCCACCTAGTGGTGATTCCTCAGACCCTAAATGTGTAATCAGAAAAGACAGACTTGGTAAGTGCCACAAGACTCTCATCAAATCCTCAGCCTGTGATGAAGAGCTCTCATTGTGGAGAAGACCAAGAGGAAGAATTTGAAGCTGCTCTACCCCAAACCTACCAAGATGGCAAATAAAAAAACCAACATAGCATTGAAGGAGGAAGAGGGGGAGGTTGATGGGCATTGAAGGAGAAAGAGGGGGAGGTTGATGGGCAGAAATTAATGTCCATGTAAGTATCTAAACAGCATGCAGGGGTGGTCCCAACTAAGTTATCCATGGCTGTTGGTGGGTCCATGTTGCACTATAACTTCTGTACTACGCCCTTTCTTCCAAAGAGGTTTATCCCAAAGGTACTCCATTATTATTATCATTATTTTTTAAGAAAGAGTCTTGCTCTGTTGCCCAGGCTGGAGTGCGGTGGTGTGATCTTGGCTAACTGCAACCTCCACCTCCTAGGTTCAGGTAATTCTAGTGTTTCAGCCTCCAAGTAGCTGGGATTACGGGCATACACCACCATGCCTGGCTAATGTTTCTGTATTTGTTAGTAGAGACAGGGTTTCGCCATGTTGGCCAGGCTGGTATCGAACTCCTGGCCTTAAGTGATCCGCTTGCCTCGGCCTCCCAAAGTGCTGGGATTACAGGTGTGAGCCACTGTGCCCAGCCCAAGGGTACTCCTTAATAAACTCTATCTCAGAGTCTGATGTTTAGGTAACCTGTAACAATCATTTCCCACTTTGAATTTAAGTTATGTTTCTTTTAAAAATAATCTTGGGTTTATCTTCAGTACAACTTCTCAATTTAATTGGGTAGTGTTAGGTTTCACATTTAAATCATTTTCCTGAAACAATGTTATGACAGAGGTATTTTTTTAGTCTTTCGCATTTTTCTCTGGAACTACAACCCCTGATTTATAGGTGATCTCTACATTTAAAATTATTGTTGACACTTGTCACTCCCTGTTTCCTTACAAAGAACTTAGGTAACTCCTCAATTCCACATTAAAAAAACAACAGTTTTCCTGATTCTGGATTGACACAAAATATTCAAAATTCACTCATATCTCATTTTTTCCCAAAAGCTTTTCATTGGTTCCCAATAATAAAAATTCCTTCTCCCCTTATTTCATCAGCACTTACGTGTACCTAACTTGTTAGCAGTGTCTGTTTGTTAAAGTTGTCTCATTTAGATAGACTTTATTCCAGATTGCATTTCCATTCCTTCTATACAGCCTTACACTATTATCTATACAATCTCTTGATTAATGGTGCTACTGAGAAGTTGGATAATTTCAAAACCTTATATGAGCATTTCACAAGATAAGCCACTTTAAATATGAAAAACTATTAGAAATTAACTGTATTATGTGACCTCAAAAAAACTGCAGAGTTTCTCAACTATTTCTATAAATAAGTATAGTTTAATGAAATAGGTTAAATAATTACAATAAATAAATCAAGCATGTGGTTCTAAAATGTAGTCCATACTAATTGGCAAATGTACTCAGCATTAAAACCTTGAGTAATGAGAGGTTAAATGCATTCTAAATGTTGTGCAAGCTGATGAAAGCACTTTCTGCTGTTGGATACAACTTCTTAAAAATAAACATTATAATAAAAAGAAACCAGAAGTGCGTCTCTAGTTACAGTTAATTCTAGTGATGACTTTATTTCTAAGAAAAACCAAGGCAACATATGTGTTTTTAAATAGCATGTGGTTTCTGTGGTTATACAGTAACCAAGGGATGACTGTTAGTGTGATAAAATTCTCTTCGAATATATTACTAAATTATGGAGGGAGCCTCTTTTCTGGAAAAAAAAATGGAAAAATTTACTATAGCATCTGGCCCACAATCAAATGTTTACTTGAAAAGATGAAAATACAGGTTGAGCATCCCTAATCCAAAAAATCCAAAATCCAAAATGCTCCAAAATCTGAAACTTTTTGAGTGCTGATATGATGCCACAAGTTACCCTGAATACATTATGTTTTTCATTGCATTAATGGTATATTAACTATGTTTTTTGCTGTTAAGGATTTATGTGTGATAAGTGCCAAAAAATGAGTGCTTCTTGGTAGCATATAAAATTCAGAGCCAGGGATAATGGTGATGCCAAACGACCATACACTGTCCACATGGGTAGCTGAGATAGTGACATCTCTGCCTCTGATGGTTCGATGTACATAAACTTGGTTTTACACACAAAATTATTTAAACTTTTGCATAAAATTACCTTTAGGCTATGTGTATATGATTTATATGAAACAAATAAATTTTGTGTTTAGATATGGGTACCATCTCATTATATATGTGCAAATATTTCAAAATCTGCATAAACACTAATGGTTTCAGGTGATTTGGATAAGAGACACTCAACCTATATAGTACTGCATTTTAATCAAATATAGTTTAATCAGAGATGTGTGGATCATGATGGACTGCCCTGTTCTTGCTCCATTCTGGACCCCTGTGGACTCTACCAACTCATGCTCAATCCCCACCTCTTTTTCTGCTTTTCCTTTGTGGCCGGTGGTTGACCATAAAAGAGTCAAATATCAGCCACAAAGATGACTGAAGATCAGATTTTACCATCAACCAGAAAGTATAGATTGTCAATAAACATAAAAAGGTGTGCAGGTAACTTAGTCACTGGTCACTGTCTCCTTTACCATAATTATGCATTTCAACAGCCACAGGTTCTAAAGATTCTTGTAAAAAAAAAGTAGATTCAGGGACAGCAACAGAGAGAATCTTTTCTGGATAGACACATGATATTATCATTTGTCTGTTAACAGTTATGAGGAAATAGATAGGATATATGCATTCAAATTACTTCTAATTATTAAACCATATTGCATAAATCTTTGATTTTTTAATAGTCTGTTACGTTATTGTTACTGACTAAAATATAGATAAAATAAAGATACATACTTGGAAGAAACCGACTCCATGAATTCATCCAAAAAATCATCATATTCAGAACCTCTTACTCTTCTCTGCCGTAGTCCAATGTAGAGTGGATCTTTAAGTAACTCCTATTTTAAAAAGTACCATAAAAAGAGAAATAACTATAACCAAGTCATTTATTGAGCCTTAGTTTCTTAATCTGTATAAAAGGGATAAAAATAGAAATAAAATCTTACCATACTGATTCAGAATTTAACCTACAGGGTAATTACTTAATGTTACATAGAATATATTGGAGTATTTATACACCAAATAAGAAAAATAATTCCTGCCCAGGAGCAGTGGCTCACACCTGTAATCCCAACACTTTGGGAGGCCGAGGCAGGCCAATCATGAGGTCAGGAGATCAAGACCATCCTGGCTAACACAGTGAAACTCCGTCTCTACTAAAAATACAAAAATTAGCCAGGTGTGGTGGTGCGCACCTGTAGTCCCAGCTACTTGGGAGGCTGAGGCAGGAGAATTACTTGAACCTGTGAGGTGGAGGTTGCAGTGAGCCGAGATCACACCACTGTACTGCAGCCTAGGTGACAGAAGGAGACTCTGTCGCAATAAAAAAAAAAAAAAAAAAAAAGGAAAGAAAAATAATTCCTAAATGTTAACATTCTAGACTATTCTGAGGAAAACAAAAGAAAATTAAAATATTTCATTTGTGTTAATTAGAAAAGTTCAATTGAGATTTTACAGACAAAGGCAATCACACAGAGAAATAACATTTAGTTTTGAAATACTAGCTTAAAGAATGGAAAGATAGCAATTCCTTTCTTAATTTTACACTTCCAAAAGCAAAACCATCAAACAACAGTTTTATTTTACCTTTACTATGGTAGTTAACAGACTTTAAAATAAATTTTTTTAGCCTTTACTAGTGTTTTCTTAAACTTTTTAACTTTACACAGTTTAAGTTGTTTCTTAAACTAAGAACGTTGCCCTGTATAAGTTTTGGTATATATAACATGTAATATCACTTTTATTAAATCAGTTTTGAAATTGAGATATAATTTAAATACAATATAACATACCCATTCATAACAAAATCTCAGTAAACTAGAAGCAGAAAGGAACTTCCTCAATGCAATAAAGGACATCTATGAAAAACCCACATCTAGTAGCATATTTAGCAGTGAAAGACTGAGTGCTCTTCACTTAAGATAGGGAACAAGACAAGGATATTTATCCTCATCGCTTCTACTCAACACTATACTGGAGACCCTAGCTATTACAATAAGGCAAGAAAAAGAAAGAAATATAGTTTGAAAAAAAAAAAAGAAACAAAACCTTTTTTATTTGTACACACGATTGTGTACATAGAAAATACTAAGAAATCTACCAAAAAAAATCCCAGTAGAAAAAAATACATGAACTTAACACAATCACAGGTTATAAAGTAAATATACACAAATCAATTGTACTTGCAATGGACAGTTAAAAATGAAACAAAATATACAACTCTATTTATAATACCAGCCCAAAATGCAAAATTCATAGGGACATATTTAAGAAAATATGTGTAAGACCTGCACACTGGAAAATACAAAATATTGCGGAAAGAAACTCAAAAAGACTTAAATTGGGAATAACCTGCAAAAATAAGTAAGTAAATAAATAAATAAATAAATAAGACCAAAGTGACACCTTCAGTAACCTAGAATAGAGAAAATTGAAATAATGAATTTGTGAATCTGGCTAATGATATTTCCAGGCAGAATGCTGACTTGGTTTCTTGTGGCTATATAATAAGGTCTAAAACAGAGAAGAGCTAGAGAAGAAAATGTTCAGTTTGTGAGCAAAACTGAAGGAATATAGGACACAGGATTTGCTGGTAAAAGATATGCATAGTAAAATAAGGTCTTCAAAGATCAAATTAAGTATGTGGTTTTAATAACTTTTTCAGAAATCTCTGAATGATTTAAAGTGAAGACTAATAGATCACCTTAACCAGACAAAAGGAACTGGTCGAACAACATTCTGACATGCCAGCCAATATAGGAAGGAGCCTATTTTGAAAAGAATTGCGAATGGAGCCTCTGTCACATTGAGTAGACTATATCTGATACAGAGAGGGCCTAAAGAGTTTTTAAGGGCATGGTACTATCTTGGATTATTAAGATTGAGACACTTCAAAATGAAAATTAATTATCTGGGTCCTCAATTTTCTGTAGTCAGTAAGCAGACTGAGAAAGTTATTCAGCTGCTAATACAGATCATTTCTTATGAAAGAGGAAGGATATCTCAGAGGACAGAGCCAAGAACCCAGAGGGCAAAACCAAAAGCCTAAAAAAGAACCATGAACTACAGAACCACCCTGAGGAAATTGAATGAGCCCTACTCAAAGAATATTCCCTTCTCTTCCCCATGTAGGTGGCCTGGCAACATGTGTCCCGTGAGATTTCAGAATTGCTATGTACCATTTAGAGTCATATGATTCCTACTCCTCCAGCTTTGAATGAGAATGTTGATGGTGGTTATTCTGTCCCTGCCTCACCATTGTATGTTTGATGTGTGGGAACACAGAAATGAGTTCCACCAAGGAGCAAAACCCAAGAAACGTCATTTGCATCTAGACCAGATTTAGATAACAATATCTTGAACTTTGGACCTGCTGCTATTAGTGGGATGAAACTTTTGAAATCCTAGGATGGTGATGAGCACATTTTGCATGTGGAATGTGACCAGTTTCTGAAGAATGAGAACCGATGTGGAGAAAGGCCCAGCTGTGCCAGGCATCCTAGCCTTCCTAGCCATTCCAGTCCAAACTGCCAGCCCACAGAATCATAAACATTAATAAAACAGTAATTGTTTTAAGCCACTGAGATGGTGATGTTAAGAAGGTTAAACCTTCGGATGTTAAGAATAATCTGAAGAGGAGTTTACTTAAAGCCAATAGAAATGATAGCCTTTCTTCACACTTGTTGTCCTGTTGTAATTAGTAATGGCACTCTCTGTCATTATGAAATTGTTTTGGTTTGGCCAGTATATCCTATGTATAATGTATTGCATAAGAAGAGTTAAGGATTTCCAGCTAGCTGAAAGTTAACAAGTTATATCACATAAATGTATTTCAGATGAAATGTAAAAACTGAAACCAAGTGCTGCTATAAAGTGCAGCTGTTCCTTAAGGCATAAAAACTCTAAACAATCTACTGGCAGGCTTCTGAGCAGCTGAGGTTGAAGTGCCAATGTGCTACCAATGACTGCCAGAATTAAAATACTTTCTACACGTCTAGAATATATTTAGACTTCTAAAATGTGAATTAGAAAAATAACAAAATTGAGAAAAAAATGTTACATGTTTCTCCTTCTCTTTTCTCCCTCCTTTCCCATGTTAATGATTAAAGTATACACCATAAAGAAGTCTGACTACAATGTAGTCAATTACAAAGATTTATGAACAAGACAGAGATTTTGAAGTAAATCAGAAAGTTAAAAAATTCTCGATTCCCGGGTAAGATGACCAAATAGGAACAGCTCCGGTCTGCAGCTCGCAGCAAGACCAATGCAGAAGGTGGGTGATTTCTGCATTTCCAATTGAGGTACCCAGTTAATGTCACTGGGACTGGTTAGACAGTGGGTACAGCCCACAGAGGGCAAGGAGAAGCAGGGTGGGGCATCGCCTCACCTGGGAAGCACAAGGGGATGGGGAACTCCCTCCCCTCGCCAAGGGAAGCTGTGAGGGACCCTGCCCTGAGGGACCATGCACTCTGGCCCAGATACAACACTTTTCCCATGGTCTTCACAACCCACAGACCAGCAGATTCCCTTGGGTGCTTGCACCACAAGGGCCCAGGTTTCAAGCACAACACTGGGCGGTTATTTGGGCAGACACCAAGCTAGCTGCAGGAGTTTTATTCCATACCCCAGTGGCACCTGTAATGCCAGCGAGACAGAACTATTCACACCCCTGAAAAGGGGGCTGAAGCCAAGGAGCCAAGTGGTCCTGCTCAGCAGATTCCATCCCCATGGAGTCCAGCAAACTAAGATCCACCGTCTTGAAATTCTTGCTCCAGCACAGTAGTCTGACCTGGGACACTCGAGCTTGGTGTAGGGAGGGATGTCCATCATTACTGAGGCTTGAGTAGGCAGTTTTCCCCTCACAGTGTAAATAAAGCCACTGGGAAGTTTGGACTGGGTGAAGCCCACTGCAGCACCACAAAGCCACTGTAGCCAAACTGCCTCTCTAGATTCCTCCTCTCTGGACAGGACATCTCTGAAAGAAGGGCAGCAGCCCCAGTCAGGAGCTTATAGATAAAACTCCTATCTCCCTGGGACAGAACACCTGAGGAAAGGGGCAGCTGGGGGCACAGCTTCAGCAGACTTAAACATTCCTGCCTGCTGCCTCTGAAGAGAGCAGCAGATCTCCCAGCACAGCATTCGAGCTCTGCTAAGAAACAGACTGCCTCTTCAAGTGGGTCCCTGACTCTTGTGCCTCCTGACGGAGAGACACCTCCCAGCAGGGGTCAACAGACACCTCATACAGGAGAGCTCCAGCTGGCATCTGGCAGGTGCCCCTCTCAGGGGAAGCTTGCAGAGGAAGAAACAGGCAGCAATCTTTGCTGTTCTGCAGCCTCCGCTAGTGACACCAAGGCAAACAGGGACTGGAGTGGACCTCCAGCAAACTCCAGCAGACCTGCAGAAGAGGAGATTGACTCTTAGAAGGAAAACTAACAAACAGAAAGAAAGAGCATGAACATCAACAAAAAGGATGACCATGCAAAAACTCCATCCAAAGGTCACCAACAGCCAAGACTAAAGGTAGATAAATCCATGAAGATGAGCAAAAACCAGCACAAAAAGGCTGAAAATTCAAAAAACCAGAATATCTCTTCTCCTCCAAAGGATCACAACTCCTCACCAGCAAGGGAACAAAACTGGACAGAGAATGAGTTTGACTAATTGACAAAAGTAGGCTTCAGAAGATGGGTAATAACAAACTCCTCCGAGCTAAAGGAGCATGTTCTAAATCAATGCAAGGAAGCTAAGAACCTTGATAAAAGGTCAGAGGAATTGCTAACTAGAATAACCAATTTAGAGAAGAACATAAATGACCTGATGGACCTGAAAAACACAG